GCTGCCACCACTGTTTCACACTCTCTCGGGCATGGCTGGACGTAATCAGCATTAAGTCTAGCTTTGCCAGCGGCCACTGCTGCCTGAAACAGCAACTCGTTCTAATATCTGCGCATGTGTCGTACTTGTTTACGATTACATATAACTAAGGATTCCTGACGGAATCCGAAACGTCAGGACAATAAAACGTTACCTATGATTAAGGATTACCGAGGGAATCCGAAACGTCAGGACAATAAACCTCGTGTTCCAGTGATCGCTTCTTCTTCTTCTTCTTCTTCTTCTTCTTCTTCTTCTGTACTGCTTCCTGGAACTCGGATATTCTCCTCTATTGGCAATCTCGGGTCGTCTGCATAAATGAGATTGTGTGAATTTTTTAGAACAGTCGAAAGACCTATTTCTGCGCATTTCCAGGCTTACGATTACCTATGACTAAGGATTCCCGACGGAATCCGAAACGTCAGGACAGTAACTATAAATACCGTGTTATCTGTGCATGTATAACCCTATCTGCGCATGTTTCAGACTGTTCTTCGTACCTATGACTAAGGATTCCCGACGGAATCCGAAACGTCAGGAAAATAAAGTGGTGCAGCCTGTGCATATATCCACCTCATCTGCGCATGACCATGCCTATGTTATCATTTGAGACATGCGCAGATAAGGGGTCTGCGCATGTCTCAGACCTGTTTACGATAGCTTATGACTAAGGATTCCCGACGGAATCCGAAACGTCAGGACAATAAAACTCTTATTCCAGTGATCGCTTCTTCTTCTTCTTCTTCTTCTTCTTCCTTTGAATATCTTCTTTCTTTACTAACGACCTGGGTTTTGGCCTGATGGTTGTACTGAGGCCTGGATAGGAAGTAGTCCGTTTAATCTAACCCCCGTCTCACAAGGACCAAATTTTTCTCGCCGGTTTGCAGCCCTGTAGGTCACTAAACATTACACGACATAACAGCTCCAACGTACATCAGTTTTATCATGGTCAACAGAGGCCGCACAGAGCCTATCACAGTCAAATCGTCTAGAAACGGAAGTGGCGCTATCACAACTTTATCTGGTTTCCACTTAGGTTGGAGGCCCCAAAGGCGTATGTTTTAGAACCTCGCTTGACAAAAATAAACTCGACTGTTTCCCAAAAATGAAGTTTTTGAAGGCGAATTATTGGAAGTTTAAATTCCAAAGACGATTTCCAAGATGACTGAGTGAGCGTCTATTCCTATGCTTGGAATCAGAAGCGTGTGTGGACAAGTATTCATGTATGAATACTTGTCCACACACGCTTCTGAATTCAAGCATAGGAATGGACGTTAACTCATGTAATGGGATTACAAATGACGTTGATCCTCGTGCATGGACAATGCTTACCATGATGACGGCTAATAAGTTAGAAATGGCCATCCCAATCTCCCTGGCCTTTGCCGGCAATACTATCTTCTAAGACTATTAGCCGTTACATCTGTTGTCAGGACCCGAGAAATGAGTTCCTAAGGCAGAGCGAGACAAGCAAGTTCCGTTAAGGGTCGGCGAACTTTTATCAAAGAGTGTCAATAGTTCCCGACCTAAACCGGCAAGTAAACGAGCTTTTACTCAGTGTTTAGGGCGTTAGACTCTGATCGAAAAGGTCGCAAGTTCGAGTCTCGGTAATGCACCACTTGGGGTTGGGCATGCCTGGCTGACGACGACTAATAAGATGGAAATGGCCATTCCAGTTTCCCTTGTTTTTGCCGGCAATACTATCTGCCTAAGACTAATAACCGCTGTGTGGCTGCTGTCAGGGCCCGAGAAATGAGGTACAAGGTAAGGGCACAAGTGAGGTCCGTTAGTGGTTGGTGAACGTTCATCAACGAGTGTGAATAAGCATTTTCTTTATCTCCCTAGATTTTAAGGTATTTCATTGGAGCGAAAAGTGCAGACGACCACTGTTGCATAAGTGTTTCGAACAGAAACCTGCAACAGCAATTGCATATACAGATATCAACACCACGTAAAAACAGAATTATGGCACTGTCATCAAGAGAACTGATGTTTCTGTTGGTCCAGAGCATTTAAATTGTGATTATTCTGGTTTTGTTATGATTCTGATGTCAGAACAGTTAACTGGCCTAAGCCACGACGTGAAACAGCTCTATTGTAAAGTAGAGTTGGATCGACGAATGACAAGAGGCGGAGAGTTGTCAGCTGTCAAACCCACTATCACACAGATCACTTACGTCTTCCGCAGTGGTCATTTGTTGAGTTGGTGGCCTTTGAGGCGGGCAAAAACAAACTCGCAATGCAACTGCCCTCAAACACGAAGCACATGCATACAGTAGGAGGATTATAAGAATTTTATTAAATCCTCTGGTTCGTTCGAATAGGACCGAGTCTTCGGGCTAATTCGGGTCATCCATGCATTTTAAAAAAACATTCAACAATTCGACCGTCGCTCTCGACGATGTTCGCCATGAGCTTCAGCAAGCCGAAGGCAAATACGGTGACTGAAGTTGAATCTATAGTAAAAGTAGACTCGCAGGATATACCCCATCCTCCCACCATTCGTACTTCTGTACCCGATTTCAAGACAAAGGTCAAGAAGACCGGAAATGGGGAGGGCGCAGGTGGCTAGAACAGTCGAGGTCTCACCTAAGGTTGTCACCACGCTCAGAATGGTCAGTTTCGTAAGATAAGCACGGAGCGACTGGCCGAGTGGTCCTTGCGACTACACAGAGGAGGGCATGAGAACCACTGCCGCTACCAGGCCGCCAGCATCCTCGCTATGCGCCACCAGTTCTCTGGATCGGACAGATAAGATACGATTAACCGGGCAACCATGTACCTGGCCCGTAAACCCAGTGGGAGCGCAAGCGCATACACCGACAGGGAATCAGATGCAAGACCCAGCGCACAACATGCCACAGGGAACATGTTTTGCTGTAGCGTAACATAGCTCTTAATACAGACGACACGGAACATCGGACATTAAATGGACCACTTTGCATACGTGTTGCAACGCATATGCCATGAAATCGTCTTAAAACTTTAAGAAACAGTGCCCACTTGAGCTTTTGGTGACGTGAAATATGTTATTTATGCGTGACATTATACTATTTTCCAAATAATACCTTACTCATTGAATGAACGGGATATATAGTGTGACTCCGACAGATGCCTCAATGAAATTCACCCAGAACCAAGTTGAGCGCATGGTAGTTAACTCCTCAAATGTAAAATGCCTTGACAAAAGTAGTTTAAGTAGTGGACATTATGTACCCAAGCCGCAGCATTCTGTAATAGGGGACGAGTGTTATTAGGGGTTTTGTGGTTGGAGACGTAGGATAGGCAATGAAGGAAATTTGTAGCAGTAAGTATAAAGTTGTAAAATTTGTTTGAATTTGTTTACCGCGCCTACTATAAAGCCGCAGATTAGAGTGCGTAAATCGACAAAAATTAGCAAAAGCGGAATTTAATAAATAAAAAAGGCATTGGAATAAACAGACAGTTGTAACCTTGTGACAGTTCAGAACCAATACAAGCGAATATGCCAGTCCCAGGAAGTAACTGAGAGGAAGAGGACCGATTGCTGGGACAATGCTTTTATTCACCTGAGGTTTCGACATCCGTCGCGGATTCATCATCAGAGATATTAGCGGCAAACGGTAGCAAAAACGGGTAATACATGCACAAGAGTTTGCACGATTTATAGGGTACAGTCATTACTGCAAACATACAGCGAAGATTAACGTTAATTGCCTTCTTGCGCCAACACCGGAGGGCCAGATGCCGAGCAATCATCACACCCGAGTCCACCACATGTGATGAAAGTTCAGTAGGTCAGAGCCCCCATGCCTTCCAACAAACTATCCACGCGCACGAAGGCAATTCACGTTAACTGTCGCTGTATGTTTGCAGTAATGACTGGATCCTATAAATAGTGCAAACTCCTGTGCATGTATTACCCGTTTTGCTACCGTTTGCTGCTGATGTCTCTGATGATGAATCCGCGAAGGATATCGAAATGTCAGGTGAATAAAAGTATTGTCCCAGCGATCGAGTCGCCTTCTTCTCAGGTTAAGAACCAGGGAGATTAATAGCTAAAATACATATAGTAGCAATTAAAGTATATTTAAGCATTCCAGTATTCCAGCTCAATTCTGTACCGCGTCGTTGATGCCGCACTGTTAGAACCATAAAATGAATGTGGTTTGTTACTATTTAAGTTGTTCTACAAATTTCCTGCTCTGCCTATCCTATTTCCCTACCCACAAAATCCCTACTAACGCTGGTCCCGTACAACAGCATGCTGGGGCTTGGGTACATAAGGTTCACAATTTAAACCATCTAGTTCCACTACTAATACTACTTTTGCCAATGCCTTTTATATGGAACCTTCATAATAATATAAGCAAATAACGCCAAAAAGTTGAACATGTCTAGAATTTTTGGGTCAAAAAGTACCCTTCGGTAAATGATCCGTCCTGTCCGAGCTCATAAGAGAAGGCAGAAGAGGCTTCCTCCTCTTCTACTTGCTCCAGAAATTCATTTGACATAGAGCCAATAGCATCCAGAATTGATTTTATATTCTGAGGACTGTCCAACCCTAGAGTCTGATAGATGTACTGCTGCTGTTGACGAAGAACGTCCTCTGCATTAGAACTAGCTTGGTCGTTTGAAGTTGACGAACTCCCCCGCGAGGACAGGCAGTAGATTATGAAACAGAGCACGAGGTAGGCAGGCAACACCATTTCAATCTGTTTCATATCCTGCTGGAGGAGGTGTGCTGCCTCCCCACGTTCAAGATTATGGCCACCATCGCTACTGACACCGCCACCGCAATCACCCTTTTCAGGGGCCAAGTCCCGCTCTGCCGCAGGTTCTCGATGCCGGCCGAATATGAGAAAACAGAGATTCTCCGTAGCACTGCGTAGAAGGCCCTTCAGACTGGAGTCTGCATTACGTTCATCCTCCCTTAGAGGCGGCAGACTACCCGTCACTCGCTCCTGCCGGATGGCCATCAGCACACAGTCCACAATGGCAGTTGCGAGTACAGTGTCCGAAGTCCCTGTCTTCTGTGTTCTAATATCAGTAAGTAGGCGA